TGAGTTGTTGACCTAGTAATTATATTTCACTTTAGTTGATAAAGATCAGACCTTTTTTTAAGTCACACCAGATCTCTTATAATTTAGCAAGCATTTATGGTTTACTTATTTACAAATGGATAAGGAATCAGCCTGACTTCTGCAATTAATTTCATTGTTTCACGAGAATTTTTTCTCTTGGTTGTCTGAGTCTAAGCTTGGACAAAATTACGACGCATACCAATGCTAGACACTGTCTAATTTTACATAGAGGCCACTCACTTTATAGGATGATCTTTTTCAAGAGAATTCAGAATAGGTTCAAATCTTTGTCACTTCATGCACCAACTTTGGCTCTGTATTTTATTCCAATAGTATCCACCTAATGTTATAGTAACGACGCTGTCATGTTCAATTTGTAAGCCTTTTCTATCGTCAAAAGTTAATACCTTATATCAGCTTCAAACAAATAATCAAAGTTTTGCTGCTATCTTGCTCCATAATGACTAAGCTTGTTCAGTGTCACATATGAGTGTCCAGAACGAAGATAGTAGAGGCACTTATTTGACTAATTCCTGCTGTCATAGCAACGCCTCCTAAGCCTTCTACCTTATTATCTCGTTTTGAGTAGGCTTTCGAGACATCTCATATATCTCATACACTTTGTTATGTAACAGCTTATTTTAAAAGGATTACTTTATCTCAGCGATATTTTTTCTCTGTTTTATTATTCTGCTGCCCATTGTCGATCGCTTGGTACATGTCCAGGGGATCCACGAAGTTTCAGCCAGGTCTGTGTGGGTACAACGAGTGAGGTACCGCTGAGGATCTCGGAGACAGACATTTACAATCTGACCGCAAGTGTACGGAGCCCCTCAGGCCGAGAACAGCCCTCCCTGCTTAAGCGAATGCCAAACGGGCATCTTGGTAGGTTCATTCAACCCTAAAGATCAGATCGTCTTGGTTTGCCCTCGGAAATTTTTGGCGAACGCTAAAATTTTCCAAAAATCGTCCAATATGAGTGAAGCTGTGAATATCTGTATGCTTTTGCGTACTGTATGGTTTAAATATCTTTTAATTGCACAGTTGGACAAGAAAATTTGTACAGAAGTTGCTTGACCTTGTTTTCGCAACTTGGTCATATTGGTAGGAAGACTTAGAGGAACGCACCTAGTC